GTCAGCTTCAGTATGAACTTTTGTTTTAATAGGAGTTTTGCCGTAACCAGAAGTAAACTGATATCTGTCCTCCTGATTCAAGACCCCCAGAGAGCTGAGCGCTTTGTAGCTGTTTAATGGGTCATAGCCACTGGTTTTCCTGATGGCTAGTTTTACAGCAGTGTTTTTCCTTAGAATAGCATGAACCATGTTTGATACTGAACTTGATTTGTTAGTATTGTAGCCTGAATCCCTGTTTCAGGCTATATAACCTAGGAAATAGGGTACCACCTAACTAAATGCAGAGAAGAAGATCCAATTGAAATAGCGAATGTGGAAGGTTTGCAATCTTCAGGCCATCCCAAAGGAGGGTATTTCTTGACATTTCTCAGCTTACTGAACAGTGACGGATAAGCTGATTTAGCTGCAGCAGTTTATAATGGCATCATCTGACAGATGCCTGCCCTGCTGGGGTCCCTGCAGACGAGGATGCGCAGACCTTCGTTCACATTAGCTTAAACTGTCCCTGAGGTGGGTTTAATAATCACTGTTATGTCCTGCTCTGCATCCTGTATGTGTGTGACAACTTTCAGAAGAAACAGTCCTGTGAGAGCAGTAATGTCTTTAAGTCACTAAAGGACCAGAGATTGGGAGCTTGGCGTCTTTTTTCTATTGTCACACTCACTTTCCACCTTGACAAGATGATTTTTTCAAATTAGGATGAATGTTTCCATTAAACAACAGGGTTTCAAAGTCAGTTGCCATTTAATAGCGTTTCATCAAAATGCTTCAGCTTAATGATATGGCCTTTTACTCATGCGCGGCACGGCCTGGACTGTGCCTGTTTGGCATTGCCTTGAGTTGTGACTGCGCAGTGCTGTTCCTCCCATGCAATGGTATTCTCAAAGCACAGCACCTTTCTTTGGCACAGGTGTTCCTTCCAGAGAGCTGGGACAGGAAGAGAAAGGAGATCTGGGAGCAATCTTTTCAGCCCTCTATGCACACATGTATATCATCCATATCTTACAGTGATTTGAAGAAAGTTTGCATTTCGATGGACAGCAATGCTAGAGGAAATTTGATTTGTCTGTTGTGGTTGTACTCAGTGCTCCTGATTCTATGTGTCTACAGTGTAGAACATGTGGTCAGTTGTCCTATGCTTTCTTCATAATTAATGGAAGAAGTGGCCACAGTTCAGTTCCTTGATTTAAGATGTCAGCTTTATGATAAAGCAATCATTCCCCAGCAATGTGCTTTTCTTTATCAGTTCTCCATCTCTCAGTGGTAGCTCAGAAATAGGTATCTAAGTTTGCGTGTGTGAGTCCTTCTCTCAGAGCCCAGAATTTTCTTATTGTCTGCTTTTAATGAAGATATTTGACAATCATTCTTCTTATTCTTCTTATACGTTTTGTCTTAAAGCAGAAGGTATAAAACTGGAACCTTTTTCTGTGAGAAATATGCTGACTTATTCTTTATTCACTTAGTGTTTAATATTAGAAGATGGCACTCCTTTAAGGAGGGAGCAGAAGGAACAGCTTCTGTGGACTCAGTGTGAACCACTTATGCGGAAAACCAACATTACTTCAGAGGACTGCACCATTTACTGGCCGTACTTCTTCCATCCTAAAGCATCTCCTTTTCCAAAATGAGGATCCAGACTGAATTGTATAGAGCATGGCTAAAATGGTGGCAAAGGCTCTGCTCTTTCTCTTGATTCCAGAGGACCCTAGAGCTCTGGAACGATTAATCAGGAGGCAACTTGTCTCTGTTGGTAAAGAAACAACCTAGTCCCCCATATATACACTCTTGCTATTCATGCATACCTCCCCCCGCCCCCTCCAAAACACAGTGACATCAATCCTAGAGTTGTCTTTAGAGTAAATAAACAAATTTAGGTTGGCATTTAAAATCTTCAGGTGACAGATTAGTAGGGTGATGACTCCAGGTGCCTGTTGCTTTTGTATGGCAGTGTCTCTGAAATTAATTGGTTTGGGACTTAATGTTAAAGGATCTTCAGAAATATCTGACCTTTTTTTGATTTTTTGATTCATACTAATCTAATCTATTTCCTGAAATCCTGAGTAAATCTGTAGGGCTAATTGACAGAAACCTTTTGAAAGAGGACACAAAGCAGGTAAATTCTTCTCATTGCTGTGTCTACAAAGGAGGAAGTAAAATTGAGGTCCTTCTCAACAAAAGCAGATACATTTCAAGTTCTCTGGTATAGCTAACAGTGCTGCCAAAAAAGAGGAATCTTGGCAGTGTACCTGAGAGCATTGCCAGGAGTTTGAGGGAGGTGATCCTTCCTCTTTCCTCAGCACTGGTGAGATACATCTGGAGTACTGTGTCCAGTTCTGTACTCCCCAGTAGAGGAGATGTATGGACTTAGTGGAGCCAGTCCAGCAAAAGGCACCAACATACTCAGGGGCTAGAGCACATGATGCACAAGGAGAGGTCAAGAAAACGGGTCTTGTTCAGTCCGGAGAAGAGAAGATTGCGGGGGAATATTACTGCCATTTACAACTACCTGATTAAAGAAAAAAGAGAAGATGAAGCCATATTTTTCTTGACGGTGCATGGCAATAGGATGAGAGGCCACACACACAAGTGGAAACCTGGCAGATTCCGACTTGATACAAGGAAAAAAAAATTACTATGAAGGTGGTAAAACACTGGAACATGCCCAGGGAGGTGGTGGAATCTACCTCTTCAGAGGTGTTCAAACTCAGCAGGACACAACACTCAGCAACTTGGTCTGATTAGACCTGTTTGAAGCAGGCAGTTGGACTAGATGATCTCCAGAGGTCCCTTCCAGCTGAAATTTTTCTAAATTTCTACAATAACGACCAAGTTATGCTGCTAAGATACAACGCTTAATCAAGTGTTTGGTTTTTGGTTTTGGTTTTGGTTTTTTTGTAATGGTTCTTTCCCCATTCTTTGGTTTGCCACTGTGTAAATCTTTGCAAAGTATACTCTCCTAAACCCTGTGCTTCAGGAAGTTGAACTGTCTGGTCTCTAAGAATTTTTATTAATTCAGCTGAGGTCAAATTTGAAAAAGCACCATAAGAGAAGTGGGCAAACCCTAAAGAATTTAAACCAGAGCTAATTGATAAAGATTTTCAACATCTTTAATTCACACATTTTTTGAGCCCACCTGCAGTTGCATTTTCCTATTACTTTTTATTTTTAAACAATAATCTATGCCAAGAAAGGCTGAAAATAGACCTATTAAAGTGTAGTCTTGCACAACAATACCATGTTATAGTATTGATATGAACTATGAAATTATCTCACATTTTTCCTTGTACTCATCAGTGTAGCACTTAAATGCCAGAGTAATTTTTGCCTAAAAAAATCAGCAATAGATTCTAAAAGAGGACATTTTCTCATGACACTGTATATCAACCAACTTCCAATTTTCCATTGCTTCCAGCAGCATTTCTTTATGTTCCCTTTTTCTATATTCCTCTATATCTGCTGAGGCTGGAGGTTTTGAAACCTTCCAAGAACAACCAACTCTGTCAATTATCATCAGCCATTTCTCTGTGGGTCAAGATGAGCAGTCCCCTTTGTGTCTACCACAGAATGCTAGTTAACATCTTGAAGATTTGCATGAGAAAGCTGAGGGAAATATCCCAGCTCAAGCTAAGAGGCATGAAATACAGGCTTTAGGGAAGTCAAAGGGAGAAGAACACAGGAGATGCACTGGTGTGTGGTTGGTGAGTCTTCACTGTTGCTCCTGGAGATGCATAGCTATTGGGACTATCAGTGTCCGAAAAGGCAATCAGTACCTAGTTGGCATGTAGGAATTGTATTCTTACCGCATCAATGATAAGCAGTGGACTAAGTTGCAAATTGTTCATGTTTCTCCATAGCCATGCAACAGTGGGAGTCCTATCCTGGTGCTTTTGTGCATGCTGTAAAAAGCGGATCTAGATATATTCCCAATTTACCTGATGTTTCATAGAGTTCAAGGACAGAGCACCTAGGTGGCTTTCTCACTTTTCTGTTTGCATAACCCTTTCTTCTCCTGCAATACAGGTAACTTACTCCTGTTTGGGGGCACAACAACCAGATATAATCATTGATTGCAAGTGCTCACACACCGTTGGGTAAAAATTGTAAAATGCATGCAGAGACCTCAGAAATATGAGCTGTTACTGATAGGTGTCATACTACTCCTTGCAACTCTCCATGAAATCCTGGGCAGAAAACCACAGTTTAATAAATAGTTTTATTTTAAATCTGAGCACTGCAAATTTCAAATACAAGTAATTTATATAAGCGGTGGTTTTTGACAGAAGTGAAAACTTTTGATTTATGGCACCCTAATGCAAACTCAACTTATGTTCTAAGTGTAAATGTGTTGTTTGGGAAGTTTTTTTATTAAACATGCTGTGATCTGTCCAATTACATCTCCTCCCACAAGAGATACACTAATCCAGACATTGATCCTGGACTAAAGAGTGGCTCATATTTGTTGATAGGATAGCAATGCCATCTGCATTTTTTTTCACTAATACGCGTAACTACAATACCATCAAGCTACCTTTGCAGAAGGGGATAAGAGGATATGAGGAAGAAGGAAAGTGAATGTAGCCATCTTCATGGTCCTTTCCACCCCTCCTCCTATAGCGGAGTGGGTGTGTTTTGCACAGCACTATCTACGTTGTGGGGAGGCATTGGCTCCACAGTGGGACGTGTGAGGGACAGAGACAGACTTCTCTGTTGGACTGTTTGGACTGAGGGTCTTTGTACATGTGACAGCATTGCTGGGACCTAATAGTTTTGGTATGGTTTGGGCAAAATATATAAGTAGAATGAAACACTATTATGGTTACACATCTAGCTGTTTAGGTGGCTAGGAGGAGGGGATGGTTAAAATCTCTCTTTGGTGCCAACTGCTTGATTAGAAATGAAAGGCTGCCCACAACCGGATTTTTGTGAAAACCTCTAGGACAAATGGACACCATGAATTTTAATCTCTGTATTTGTTTTTTCTTGATACTTTTGTTACACAGGGCAGCTTTTATGTCCCGTCTGAAAACTGCATGCAACATGCATACAAATGGCATAAGGACCTCTGTCTTCTGCTCTTGAATGCTCAAAGAGGACTTCACGTGTACTACACCCTCATAATGAAGGAGATTCCTGATTTACCACAGCTGAAGTTGGGTAAGTGAACAGATATTTAAAATCACTGAATATTTTACAATGCTGCATTCTCAATACACATTTTAGTACCAAAATTCCTGGGTTGTTCAGAGATTTTTGAGGATTTTTGCCCCCGTTTTCTGATTAGTGTTTATTTTGGCACACTGTTAAATATGACTGCTTTCTCAGCTTATGCAAATCCATTTATAGGATGTGGCCTGATTGTAGAGGGGTAAAATGTTTTGATAAATTTCTCAGAATACTTGCCTTTCAGTGATTTTTGGACTCAGTTGCTTTTTGAAGACTTGAACTTCCAGGTCAATTGCCATGAAATCTGGGGAAGACTCTAGCATATTTTTTCCTCTTGAGCAGACTTTTTTTTAAAACTGAAAAGAAAAATCTGAAAGGTGATATGAATGTTTTTGAAACATACTCCTTCATTTAAAATTTGCGTTGTATTTATTCCCTGCCAATTACATAATTACAACTTGCTCTTTAAAATGATTCTGCTTTTCTTCCAAATTCAATTGTTTAATAGATTTTCTGGTTTTGGCAGAAGTTTGTTTTGGCTGGTCAGGCCTGTTAGGTCCCATGTGCAAGTGCTGGCTGGCTGGATTTGCAGGATGGAGCTCTGTAATTTGTGTTTAGTCATGTTTATAATGACAGCATGAGCTCCTGTGAAAATGAGGTGCATCCCTGACTAATTCCTGTTCTCCCACCTGTTTCTTTGAATTCAAGGAGTGTGGCTCATGATTTCACTTCTGTGTTTTTGTGTCTTTGTATTTCGGTATACAGGTTTTGAAGTTATCAGTTTGTTATGTTGCAGAAGTAATTATATTAGGACAGTCAATTGCATTGGTCAGCAGATTTAAAAAGGGAGAAAAAAACATTTTCTAGTTTCGCTGTATAGTGCTTGTGTACAAGAACTATCAAACATAACACATTATGCTTTACAGACTTATGGACTTGATAGCTCCTGTTTTCCACTTCATGTCATGTTCCCCATCATATATTTCCCTTCAAGATAGCCTAAAACTCATAGGGTGGGAAGACCACATACTGTGTTATTCAATCCAGCTACGAGGAAAAAAAAAATTACAGCATTTTTATTTGCAACTTATGAGCTCTCAGACAGAACCCAACATGCAACAAAACTCATGCTTCAGGCATCTGGGTTATCAGGCACATACAATAGATGATTTGTGTCTCACCTGGACAGGCTTATGGGTTGGGAAATGACAGAGTTATGTATGGTTGGTTGACCACAACTCAAGAACTACCCCAGAGCACATATTGGCTTTCTAAATACAATTAGCTTGGTTTTCAAATGACTACTAGTACTGAAGCAGGCACTTAATTTGCAAATGTACTTGTTGTAATGCATGCAGATTTGCTAAATGCAAATACCCTTTTTAGCCTCTTGAGCAGAGTGCTATTTGCATCATTTTATTCAGTCTGAAAATGTACTGAAGATTTCATTTTAAGGCTAAATTTCTGATGCTTGTTGCAAAACTCAGAAAAATCATGGGGTGTAAGATTCACCCAGTATGATGAATACAAAGCAAATGTTTATATCTGTCTCCTTACAATCATTGGGGAGAAACAGACCCATTTAGTACAATAAAATGTTATCTGACAAGCAGTGCTTTCTACCTTGGGATGGCATGAACTGCACCTTGTACTTGTTCATTTTTCTCCACTGACCAGGGGGAGAATGTAAATGACTCATTCAGCTGTAAACATCTATATTGGTCAGATTAATCTCGTCATAGGTTTCTAAAGATAGTTACCATAAATCCAAGACTGCAAATCTCTGCAAACTGTCTTAATTCTTTTTCCTAGCTCCCTGAGTAGTATATTAGAAAAAATAATGGCCTAGTTCAGACATTAAAAGAGGGAATGATTGTTTCCCAAATTTTACCAGCTGAGGATGGGTCTTTTCAAGGTGCTACCCATCTCAGTCTGTCCTTTCCCATTCCTTAGTAATATTTAAGAAGAGTCATTTGGGGACTGGGGAGGAGATTGGCCTGTTAGTTGTTCTGCTTTGTTTCTTTGTGGATACTATTAGAAAGTTCTGCATTGCAAAATCAAGCTGCCAAAGTCGGAGAGTTGATTTATGTCCTCCTTTGCCTTATAGTCTGTGGTGCATTTAAAGTGGAGTGTCCCTGTGCTGGATTCTCTCAGGACTACATCAAAGCACTGCTGCTTGCTGTAGAAGTGGAGAGGTACTTCACACTCCACAAGGCAGTGCAGAGATGCCCAATCTTTTACTAGTCAGACATCTGGTATCGCTTACACAGTCCTGTGTAGCACAATAGGAAGAACCATTTCTTGCACATCATTTGCTCAGACTTTGCAATGGTGAGACTTTGCATTCAGTTCTGGAGTTGGCCATAAATACCAAAGGCTAAAAAGCAAACTTCCTGTAAAGAGAGGGTAGACAATGAAAAGCCAAACTCTGTTGTCTTTGTCCTGACAACATTCCAGAACTTCTACAGGTTTAGTCGTCCAGGTTACATGAGCAGAAGTTGTACCTGCACCTGCACCAGTACAAGGTGGGTTGTGGAATGCCCACATCCAAACAGAAACCTGTCTGGCAGGGAAGAATGTCGAATGACCTATTTCTCACAGGAATAAACAGCAGAGTATTAACATTCCACATCTACTGTTCTCAAACTTGATCTCTTTCTTTGTGTTTTTTCCCTAGAGGAGCTATCTGTGGAAGAGTCGTTATCTCAGCTTTGTACGGAGCTGCAGGTATTTTCTTCAACAGAATCTGCCCATACGTTTTTCAAGTCCATTTTTCAAGTGCACTGAGACAGCCCAGTCACCTATCAGAGCGGGGAGAAAGGGAATTTGGTGCCATCAGAAAGTTTGTTGAATGTTTCTCTTCCACCAACAATTTCACATAATTTTGATTAGTCACTTACAAGATGTTTCTGTCACTTTTAACAAGTCACCAGCTGGATTGCTTTAACATCCTTCAGTGAGCCTAGCCCTCCGTATCAGAGTATGCAGAAAAAAATTATTTGGGGGTATGTTGCAATTACAGCTTTTATGCTGACAGGAGAAGAGATACTTTGGCAGGTTGTACAACCATATCTTTTCAAATAAAAATGCCTAAATATGTAGGGGGGCTCATAGGAGGAAAAAAGTGATTTTGACACAGAAATGTCTGAAATACTCCCTTGAACTTGCTTCTGCCATGTTTATTTCAAGTGAAACACAGACAAGTCGTCAAGGGTGCCAGGAAGAAATGCGAGCGTCAGTTGATCACTGGGGAAAATGTTTTATAATCAGAGATTTAATAGATTTGATTTGCTCAGTTTATTAGCAGGAGGGACAGCATAGGGAAGAATGACAAAATAACAATTAACAGAGGGAAGCTGAAGCCAAACTAAACTGGAAGTACATTCACACTCTGGTTACGAATGGTGGGCTAATGTTTGTCAGTCATTGGTGAAAAATGTTTGAAATGGCAAATTTCTTAATTTTAACTCATGACTTGGATACTTTGCAAGAAATCCGATTTCATATAAATTTGATTTAGAGAAACATAAGTTATTGGGCTCAGCTCTACTAGATTTAGAAGCTGAAAGGGTATAGGAGGTCAGACAACACAATCTAGAGTCTCCTTTGGACTTATTTTCTATGAGTCTGGGAAAGTCCAAATTGGCTTGGCATACATCAGAAAATGCCAGCATTAATTCCTCTGTATTTTCTAATTCCTGTCCAATTCTTGTTTTCCCAAAAAGCTTATTGACTTGTTTTGCATGGCAATATTAATAAAGCCAGACTGCTTTGACTGTTGTTTGAAAGCTGCTGGGAACAGCGTAGCAGCAGATATGTGAATACAACAGCTAGAATAGCTGGTTCTCTGGGGTGTTATGAAATCTTTGGTTTTCCTATACGCCGTGAAAACGTTTTGCCTTAGCATCCTGGGATGATAGCTTTCTATCCATCTATGCATAATTTGGTGCTAAAGACAGTGAATTTGCAGAGACTCTCACGACATACATGTTGAGATCTTGTACAATATTGGTGGGACATAGGCGCAGCATTAACCATCACCGCGGTGTAAGTGCTGAAGTCATATGTACTTCTGTATGGTGTAGAGATTATATTGGCAATGCTCTCCCAGTATTTTGCCGCTAGCAGTACGTGAACTGAAACCATTTCTTTTCAGCAGAATATAGGAAAACCAGTCCTTTGTGAAGGAAGGAAATGCTATTAAAAACCATACAGAGAGAAGCCTGTAGGGTTAGTCTCCCTTTACCACTGTGTTACCGGAGCCAGGTTCATTTTTAAAATTAAATACAAACAAAAGAAATTTTAAAAAGTGAGTTTAACCTGCCACAGCTTTGTATTCAACCCAAGAACACAGCAGATACTCAATGCAGGGAAATATTTTTTTAATTTGATTGATTTGTAAACAAACAAGCAAAAATAACTCCTCAAAAAAACCCTCTCAATTTGTTTTGCGTGACAGTATTGTTAAAGCCAGACTACCCTGAGTGGGGCTTGAAAGGTGCAGTCATAGGGAACAGCCCAGCAGCAGGTATGTGAATGGAGTAGCCAGAATCACATTTGGTGGTCATTTTAATTGCTGGGTTTTGCTCTGAGGAACTGAGTCCCTGGGATTTGACCTGCGTCGCTAGTGTTGCTAAGCTCTTGTCCTGTGTGTGGCAGTGGAGTAAGACTCTTGCAGTTAGAAGTAGGCATTGTCTTTTCCTTCCTCCCTTCCTTCCTTCCTTCCTTCCTTCCTTCTTTTCCTTCCTTCCTTCCTTCCTTCCTTTCTTCCTTCCTTCCTTCCTTTCTTCCTTCCTTCCTTCCTTCCTTCCTTCCTTCCTTCCTCTCTAATATGTTCAAAAGGTCAAGAACCAATGAACTAGAAAAACAGCCATCACACACCTATTCCTAGTATGGCTTGCATTAATAATGCATCTTTGAAGACTGTGCTTTCAGTTTATGATGTAAGAGGCAGCTTACTGACTAAATAAAAAAAAAATATTGACATACAACATATAAAATTGATTGCAGTAAATAAAGTAGTGCCCTGACTCTGCAAAGAGAAATGTTTGGACAGGATCTTTTCTCTACCAGTATCCGCCTGATTTTTCCGGTACCAGAATGGGTAGTGAAGCTTGGGCCATTTTGGTCAAGTTGTTAAAACATAACAGCATCCAAACAATGTAAATTCAGTGACAACATCTGTGTTATCCACACAGGCATTTTCTCTGTTTCTCTCTCTCTCACACAGACAATCTGCTTTTATTCATGGTTAGTTTGCAGTGTCACCAATCTGGAAACTACCTGCATAATACAATGTGAAAAATAAGCAGGCTTTTGGCTAGACTGCAGCCCTAACCAAAAAAAGTCCTGGCCAAGACTGATAAGCAATTCCTCTCATATTATTTCTGGAGTATTTCTGGTAGCATTACCGGTTTCATGGAAGCAGGGAGGGACCGTAGGAATAGTTGAAGGCTCAGTTCTGTACTCTTGTGCCAAAACATGGAAGTAAAATGCAATGTCAGTCTCTTGTGAAAGAAACTGTGAAACCAGGGAGATCGATACGCAGAGACCTTGCTGCTGACATGCACTTCCTGGGCTGCAGAGCTTTAGCGCAGAGTTGCAGCCTAGAGCTGGAGGGCACGGAGGGCCCCAGCGTGTCCTTATGTGGGAGAGAAGCAACAGCACACTCTGGGATGTCTGTTTTCATCATCTGTTGACAACACAGTGTTTTGGTTTGGGGTTTGTTGTTCGTCCCACCCCAGATCCCCCTGCAAATCACCCATCTGGTGTCCTAGTGTGATATGGCTGAGAAGGTTGCTTTTGCTATCAGAAAGGAGGTGACGGACCATGGCTTATTATTTCAGAGCATGCAGCACCATCTGGTGGATAATTTGGAACCCACTTTCTTTGATTTTTTTTCCCCGATTACTACTTCTGCAGTAAAGTATCTGCAAAAATTGAGGATGTTCCCACTTCTTGCTCTCCAATTGTGTAGCTGAGACCCTTTACGCTAAAATATGTGGCTTTTAAAGAGTAAGAGCAAAAGTCAAACCAGCTTTAGTTGGGGTAAAATAACTGAAAATAGTACCTTTAATAATAATTCTTAATCAAGAGGAATTTTTGTTGTTGTTGTTGTTCTTAAAAGGAATTAATCTAACATACAAAGTGATTTTCCTTCATGACATTGTCTTGATCTCAAAATGTCCTTTCTCTCCTCCAGCTGCTGAGCAATCCAGAGAAGATAGCAGAACAGATAAGTAAGGACCTCGCCTGGCTTTGCTCCCACCTCTTGGCCCTGTGGACCCAGTTCCTGGAGGTGGCAACGCTCCATCCAGAGGTCACAGCTTATCTGACTCAGGAACATCACATGCTAAGGGTAATGTTAAGAAGTTAAAAGCAAGTTCAGTAATAGTAACCTCCTGATAGACATTAATGATTTATCTGGACATATATTTCCAATACTATTCTGCCCATGTGAGTATTTACTTGAAACGGGGTGAGCAGGACAAGAGGTGAAGAAGAGGTGAAGCCCAGGATTTGAAATTGCAGATTTGAATTTCTGGAATGAAGGCTGTTGCTTTTATGGGACCCAGGATCCTGTGTAAAATGAGTGTACTTTGAACACCAGAATCAGACATGGAACAGGAGGTGGGTGGGAAGCGGTAGATATCGCCTGTACTTGCTACATAACCATAAATCATAAACATTTGTTTTAAAAAGCACAAGCATCACAATGACAAATAACCAAAAAGATGATTGTATCTCAACTTCTTTCACAAAACTATCGTGAGGAATATAGATTTGTTCTCTTCACTATGTCACACACATATATATATGTATACATATTCATGTATATACATATATATAGAGAGAGACCTAGTTCTTGCTTTTCTTTTAGTGAGATGCACACAACAAAATATTAATATTGTTCATGCGGAAATTGCTTCTTGTACTTGATAATAAAGAAGGCAAAAAAGCACTTGTCTTTTGAGCTAACTTTGTCAGATCTGCTTATCTGATTAGTTCAGCAAGTGCTGTGTCTTCCATTAGGACGTTTCTGGTTATTGACCAGACATCAGTTCAGCATATCACCTGAGCTGAATTCATAGTCTGATCTAATCATTAGAGTAGGGACACAGAGAAAAGGATAGGATTCACCTTGCTTAGCTTTAGGAGTCTACAGTGTAGGTATTGACATCTCAGCTTATGTTCTGGTTTCTGTCAAAGTCAGTGGAGGTCCGATTACGTTCCAGAGGGACCAGAACAACTCTCCGGTTGCTCTCCCCAAGAGCATGGTTGAGCTTGCAAAAAGGAGGCATAAAATTCAGGAATAGGTGACTGAGTGACTCCCTTGGTTAGTCTGACTAGGTCTCTCTTGACTCTGAGAGGACCTGGGTGGCTTTCAGCCAAAGGACCCAACTCCCTATGCTCCCAGCTCCAGCAAGGTGAATCCCAGCCTGTGGTTTGTTCCAGCCTCGACTAATGCCGACTGCCTGCTTGACCTTTGGCAAATTACATACCTTTGTGTGCTTCAGTTCCTCCCCATATAAACTGTGTGTAATGATACTTTTCCAGCTCTGAAAAACAGTTTGAGAGCCCCAGATGAAAAGTCATACTATTAAGATACAGTCTTCTTGAAGGGATGCTAGTCCTTTTTTTAGAAAGGCCGTTTGTTAAAGCATGCTGGGATTTTGGGAGATGCTGAGATGCTATGTCATATACTTTTTACTGCCATTTTCTGACACTGTAACAGAGGTCACTTTTACAAATATTATTAGTAATGTATGGGCTGCAGTTTAACAGCTTAGTACATTTGATTGCATATTATGCTGGATTCATTTAAACTCAAAGCTTATTCCAGGGCAGATAGCAGCACTGAATTTTTTATAGCTTATTTCACACTCTGTGCTCTGCCAGCCACTTCAGATCTGTGGCTGTTTTGTAATTGATTATCCAACACTGAACAGATCTAACGTCCATGAAGAGATTTGAAGAGCTCTCATTTGTAAGTATCATGACATAGGCAGATGTGTTTCTACCATGATAGGGCTTATTCTCTTCTGGGCTGATATATAAGACTTTCTTTACTCTCTTGGGAGTCACTGTTCCCATAGAAGAGGTGATCAATTATGAATTGTTCTAATTTAATAATTCACTCCACTGCTGCTATATGGTTTGCACGGTGGGAAAGGAAGAAATCTTCCCCACTTTAAGAAAACAGGGGTAAATGGTAAACTTAACAGCTTTTAGAAAAGTAGTCAGAAGATGCACGTAAGCAAATCTTGATTTTCTGTCAAGGGACACTTCTTACCTCCCAGCAAAACACACAACAACACCAGCTGCTTTGTGCCGGGCTGGGAAAGTGAAACAGAATTGAGCTCTTTAGTTTTTTCTGTCACCAGAATGGTGCAACGCAGATGGAGCATACTAAGGAATCCGGTCCTGGCAGTACTGTCTGTTATTAGCCTGATTCTACTTGGCACCTTTCAGCAGATCTCAGGTTTAACTTGTATGTTTCTCCCTCAGGTGAGAAGATTCTCAGAAGCTTTCTTCTACACTGAGCACCAGAAACTCGCTGTGCTCACGTTCCAGGAAGGCCTGTAAGTAACCCATTAACCCTCCCCTGTCACTGGAACGACAGAAAATGTAGTTTAAAATGTTTTACAATCAAGACTAAGGTCTTTTTCTGCTGGATATGGAGGAGTTTGGTTTAAGAGAAGTCACTGGGTCTGTTCTAGCTCCATATTGTAAAACCATTGAAATCACTGTCAAAAGTAAGTGACTGATCAGGCCCCAGAAATTACTAATTACAAGATTCTTATATTCTAGGGATACGATGCAGGAGATCCTCTTTCCCCACCTCTCTTCTCGGTCGCAGTTGAGTGCATTTCTCTTCAGAGCGTATCTCCACCAACACCACCAGCCTCGGGGCAGGCAGAAATACTTTTTTAAATCTTTCTTTAATTAACTTCCTAAACCCACTACACCAGATCCAGTGCTGGTACTTTTAATGGGAAATAACTGCTGACAAGCAACAAAAGCTTAGCATTTAAAAATTTGCTTTTTACCATCCCTAATATACACTTTTGGGGGTAGACAGTCATGGATTTCTTTTGACATTTAGTCCAGCCCTACTTTCTATAGCGAAAAGGATCTTTAAATGCAGACAGGAGCATTAAACAGCCAATGCAAAGCTGTGGATATTCACTAGATGCGGCAGTGGAGGATGGGAATGGGGAATACAATCACGTTAGCTGGAGGAGCCGTGGGAGTGATTAAGCTCAGGGCTGATAATTAATTGACAGAAAAGCCACAGTGCAAAACAGTCCGGGAAAACAAACATTGCACTGGGCTGCATTCATAAAAATATGCTATAAAACTTTGGCAAGGTAAATATTTCCTTCTGTTTGACACTTCCTGCTTGGAACCAAACTGGGCAGTATGAGGAGCCAGTTTTAAAGCTACACCAGGGCAAATCCTGCCTTCAGTTTTAGCCAATGATCCCAAGTGGAGCACATGGATAATACTCAGGACCTGACCCCTGAAGGCAGAGTTCAAAGAAAGATGCTCAGATTTGAATTTCTGAGAAACGAGGGATGTCCGGACTATTTGTCCACTGAAACAGCCTGTCACCACGGGGGGCCCACAGCATTACCAGTGTGGAAACCCATCTTTCAGAAGGGGCTTAAAGGCCATGACATCAGGCCCTGTCATGATGATGAGGCTTAAGTGAGACATCTGCTTCTGACCTAGTGCAAAGAAGAAAATTACTTTCTCAAAGCTGTCACTAGGGACATCAGGGCTGATTCAGTGTCGATGGAAAGGGCCATGACTTCATTAATGGATGGGTTGTACAAGGCTACCTTGTTCTGCCAAATTAGAGCAGCACCATGGCTGCAGGGGCCCAGCTGTGCTCACTTAGTCCTCCCACGTCAGGTCTGAAGTGAGCTATGTACAAGGAAAACCCGATGTCAAGATCCTGGGGTGAGGGCACAGACACTCATGGCCCCATGCAAGCAAACATAACCCTGCACAGGGGGAAGCCTAATTGCATGAAGTGCTTTTATTTCTCCAGGCAGCCACAGAACTAGCCCATTTCCTACAGATAAACATAATTTTTCCGCAGTGATTATCAAGGAGACTGAGTAAAAAAAAGTAAAATAGTTTACAAACTTTAAAAGTTGGACTATGTAGGAAATTTGGTCTATACAGGCCTCATGGCAGAGTCATGTTCTCTTTTTGATTTTGCAAGATGATGTAGTTGGAAAAACAGTCTTGGCTGCTGGAGTACTATTAATGTTGGGGGTGGCAGTCGGGAGTATTAATTGGGTTCACAGAGTCTCCAGGTGAGATCAGCTCTCAGCGTGCCAGGTGCTGTACAACCACCTCAAACAGTAACAGTTTTTCTCCCCAGTTCTTTCTTCCTTCTTACCAGATAAGAGCTTTTTTGTGCCTCCCGAACTGTTGTTGCGAGTTCTGTGTGAGGCCTTGCACCTACATGCCTGGCAGCATTTGACTGCTTAGACAGAAGAGGACACACCATTTTCAATAGGTTGGGTGTCACACAGGGTGGGACGCTCTAGCAGGTGACATATCCTCCCAATATTTTACAGAAAAAATATTTTTTCTCACACCTTTCAATATCAATGATTCATCTTTTGTGACACAGATTGATCTCGAAGCAAGTTTAGTTTATTATTTTTACATGTGGTCTTTAGTAAAATGCTGATGCTATTAATTAATATGTCAGTGAGAACTTTATTACGGTGCCAAGAATTAACTCTAAACACCCAGGTGTTGCTGCAGGCAAGAATGAGCAGTTAGCTGTTTGTGACTCCTGTCTGAGTCATGTTTTAGCAAACAATGACTTGTTTATTTTTGAGGAAAAAATAACTGGCCTACAGGTACGAGCAAATGATAGACAGCAACAATTATGTTCTGAAGCTGAAGCTGATATGCTGGTCTGAACAAGTTATTTGTGTCTGGACATAGGAATCTTCCATGCTGGCGTGAATTACAAACCTGCTGTTTGAGTTTTGCTTCATAATGTGTAAAGTGTGTTTTTTCCAGTTAATTGCCACATGATGATTACCTGCCTTTTGCAATGATAATCTGAAATATTGCCATTGTGCTGTCCTATGGGATCTGTGCAGAATTGCTTTCAGCTGACCATCTATGAAAATTTTGTTGCCTTCCTCTTTATTGCTTAAAGATAAACAGACTAATTCATCAAAGAGTCAGCACAAATAAACAAACTTTGTATTTTATGTTTTCCTCTTTTTTTGAGGAAGGTGCTTACATAGGAAAGCTCATCAGAACTAAAAATCATTGTATTTATTATAGCTGAACCCACAGTGTGCCAGTTTAATGTCACATTCACTGATGAAAGCCAGGTAGCATTTTACATGGCCCAAAAGATGGAAACAGGCAGTTATTCTAGTTCTGCCAACAGGCAGTGGCTGAATTGATGTGTCTTAGCTCTTCCGGATGCATACGTATGTGAGATATCGCAGCGCTCTGAGGACTGGTGTAAGTGAGATAGAGGGCCCGCCATGCGTCCTTCTTGGCCTTGTTCCTCCCTATATTGCTCAACCAAATTTTTGATTATTGCTTCCTGCGTCTGGGTTTTGAAACCCTTGCCACAGCCAGAGTGACAGATCTCTTTTCCTGACCAGAACGCCAGCTGAGGGATCTGGTCTCAGCGAGCTGCAGTGACCCCTGGGAGGGCAGCGATGAGTTAGGGTAGCTAACAGGAGCCTGTGGCAGCGGCAGCTGGAATAATTTCAAAGAGACAGAGGTTTTGCAATGAGGGAGTGTGCAAGTTGTAGGTATCTCTAACTGAGAGATAGAAATCAACTCACGAGAAACCTCCTAGGGGTGCTGGGTACCCCCTCGTCGTGCAGTACTGCCTCCTCTCCTTTTGCCTCTGTCCTCTGCCTACACATCCAGCTTTGCTGCCGGGCTTGCAGGAGTGATGGAGAAACAGCACGGTAACTACTCAAACACTCAATTTCTTTTGTACTTTGCTGCCAGGATCCAAAGTCATGGACAGATTTCTACAGAAATTCGTAATTCGGAGTACTTCACCAGCATGCCCCCACTTCCGGCAGAATGCCTCGACATAGATGGGGACTGGAACACGCTCCCAGTTATCTTTGAAGATAGGTACATGGATATGCCTTGCAAAGGTGAGTGAAACACCACAAGGTACAGCTTCATGAGACAGCTTGAGCTGAGGGAGGTTCACTTCCCCAGCCCAAGCTAAGCGATCTCACATCCCTTGGGCTGACGCTGGCTTGGATCGGAGTGTGATCCACTATGTAATACAGCTGAATTATTCTGTTTTCCCTAGTAGCAAACTAGAGTATTTCCTGTAGCTTCATATTTTTCATCTTCAAAGTAAGCTGTTTAGTTACAAGAGCTGGAGGCAAAATCTGGAAAGAAAACAAAATCTTTCAGATTTTTGTTACAGTACAAATTCAAAAGAAAAACAGTGCTATGAATTTCATCCCCAGTGTGACATCTAGTGGTAAGAAAACTCAGAACAAAAAACTCAGTTTCAGCATAAGGCCCAACACTTTCCCTAAAAGGCAGTATTGCTTTCCAAAAAAATATTTTCCCCTTGAGTACCCAGATCAAATTTTTAATTAAGAAATTATTTAGTTCCATAGATTTATAGTAAAACCTCATCACCCTTGGTTCCCTTTTCTTTTTACTAAACTATTAAGATTAGCAAGGAAGCAGTATGTATTAATATTATAGGTGACCATAGTCTAGTAAATATGGCCTGTGGTCCAAAATTTCCACTCTTCCAGAGTGCCTAAATTTTGACAATGCTCATTACAGATATTTAAACTGACTCACAAGCAAGAGCTATACTATGAACAATG